ATAGCAAGTTCTTTGAAGTATGGTCTACATGTTGACCCTTAAGGTAATTTTAACATAGAGCGAATTATATACTTTTTGAGTTCTGAATATTTTGTTCGCCATAGTAGATGTACCCCAAAATATAATGCCATATTGAATACTAGATTGAACATGTGCATAGTAATATACCTTCATGCTGTTCAACGAGACTTGGTCCCTTGTTTGCTCGAATTACTCCTGCTACAGAACAGAGCCTTGAGTTCAGTTTATTCACGTGTGTGTCCTATCTGATACTGCTATCAACTGTGACCCCCAAAAATTTGAAATCGTTTATTTCCGGAATAGATTTAATGGTCCAATTTGACATAGATCGATTCCTGTCTATTTTGGACAGTTCTGAAGTAGATTAGTCCTGTTTTGTTTGTATTCAATTTTAATCCGTTCTCCGAACAACACTTGAACATTTTTTTTGCTACCTCAGATAACCCTCTGGAGAGAGCCCTTGAATCAGACCCAGACACTGTTACCAACGTATCATCTGCGAATTGACAGACTAGACCTATACCAAGTGATTGTAGAAGGTCATTCACGTATATTATGAACAATATTGGTCCTAGGATAGTCCCCTGTGGAATAATATCTGAGAGAAAGCCTTTGAAGAGGATAACGTAGAAATTAATGAATAAATGCATATTTTTTGACAAAACTGAAAATTCACCTCATTTTTTGAACAGACAGCGTTCTTCAAACAAATGTATTGGTGGCTATCTGTAGCAACAATTAATCGGGTCTGTGACTTCACCACTATCTACAGCTTGTATTCTTTGTATACATATTTGCAACTTCAATTCTAGATTTATGGAGATTTATTTTTCTCTCTTCTATCGACACTTTCACGGGAAGTGTTCAAGTGACTTAATACATTTGATTCCACCAAGAGCGGTGCATATCAGAAATACGCGACGGACTGTGGCTACTCATCGTTTTGAGGTTCAACTCAGTACACCTTGAACTTAACTGTTTAAGAACTCTTTCATCTGGAGAACTGCGTTTCTGTGGAATAAACTTCCAGATAACGTTTTTCCAAATGGATTAAATCTCCAGCGATTCAAATCCAATGTGAATCGCTACTTTCGCACAGGCACCGCTCTGAGAGCGCCTTAAGGAGTTTCCTGTAGTTCTTGCGTTTTGTCCTTGTGAAAAAAAAAATATGTTCAAGTAATTTCAATCGACACTTCGGCGCATTTTTTGTATTTTTGACTCCAAAATGGATGTATTTCATTAGTTCGGACTTACATTGTCTAATATGATATAAAATGGTTTGAAATCCCTGAAAAAGTCTCTAAAAGCTGAAAAATTAAGATTATAGTAAGCAAAAAAACTGAAATTACAATGAAATAAAATACAAGCAACAACCAAAAAATAAAAAAAGAACTATTAACACGAGATGAAAATTAAAAATTAAAAATTCCAAAATTCGAAACCAAGTTACTTCACGACGTTTCGGTTGTTAGTATCCACAATCGTGGTCAGGTGATCATCTGAACTTCATTTTCATGAATTTTCATTTCTTGTTAATGATTTTTAATTTTCATCTTGTGTTAATATATAATAGTCCAATATTTTTATTTTTTGGTTGTTGCTTGTATTTGTATTTTAATTTCATTGTTATTTCGTTTTTTTTTGCTTGATATAATTTTTATTTTTCAGCTAATCATTTTTAATCTCTTACAGATTTTTTCAGGGATTCCAAATCATATTAGACAATGAAGTCCGAACTAATGAAATGCACCACGAAACATTGTCAACCACCTTCAAACAAACGTCCAAAATGGATGATTAATTTCCAATTCAAATTAAATAACTACATGAAATGAAGCATTTTCATAAATTTTCCCTTTTACCTTTTGCGTCTTTGTATACTGAAACTATCCATGATTGTTGCTCTTTATATAAACCTTATTTCTTCGATTTTATCTTGAGTGACTAAGAGATGAAAACCCGTCGGAATGAATGACTGTATATTTGGTTATTTTTACGCCGTTTGGCATTCAATCTAATTACTTTCTGTCACCATTCAAGCCAGTCGAATCATTCAAACAATCCCACATATTCTTTTGTCATCTATCGAGTGCAGCTATAAAATATAATTGACGTAATTCTTTGAGAAATTCATTTTTTTCCATTTTATCTTTGCTCCTACGAATTTGACTGAACCATAATCAGTAAATTGGTATTTCAATTCCCATAAACTTTTTTTATACCTACCCTAAGAACGAGAAATCGAAACTAAACGATCTCTTCTCAGGACAAATCCTTTGACTTTTTCAACGTAACAAAAAGGAAATACAGTTAGGGACATTAAGAATTCTCACCAGTCCTAGTACAGCTCGAAGATAAAATATGTGTGACACATTATTATGCTTAATATACTGCCAAGCCACCTGGAAGAAAAACTCCAGACCAACATATATTTGATATGGTTTGATTTCTTGCCATACCATCGAAGACAGGTTTTGTGAGTTCACACGGAGAGGATTCGCAAGAATTTCCGATACCTTTGATTTCAATCAATTCAGTTCATCCAAGTCAGCAAAATACATTTTGTTGGTGAACTTAGCGAGGCACGTTATTGTAATACAGGGCGTTTTGTGAACTCATCACAAATGCCATAAAACAAGAAAATATATACTTTTGAGAACAAGCTCGAGTTGGAATAGACCCAGGATAGAAAATCAATTTTAGCGAAAATGAAATGAACCTTCTATGTGTTATGATAGACTAATGACTGAAGTTATTTCAAAATGAAGTTGATAATTGTTCCATGTATTGAGAATCCTTCAACTATATTGTCAAGCTGTAGATTTCTGGTTTCTCATTGTTTTTGTATTCTCATATTTACAATCAAACATATAATTGAAACTTGTCTATTCCTGGTAACTGGTTTCAAAAAACCCATTTCCCTTCAAATCCAATTTTTTTTTTAAAGAGAAGTTATCAATTATTTTATTGTAATTATAGTGTGCATTAGTACGAATTCTCAAACATGAATAGACTTGGCACGTAGAGTAAATGTTGCAACCCCTAAATTTTTTAAAATCAATTATCATTTAAAAACATTAAATCAACTGTTTGACACAATTCGCTACATTGCATTGAAAATTTAGTATGAGGTACCGTGAAAACAAAAAACGACACTGGTACACATATCATTTTTCATTAACCGATGGAAAGTATACTATGTTATAGATTATTTTGCATACTGAAGAACATCAGTGTGATACAATGTCATTTGAGCATGTAAATCCTGTATTATGACCCATTCCAACTGATGACCTTATGTTTGTTTGAAGGTGGTTGACAAGGGACGTGGTTGACACCTTCAAATGGAACCATGGGGATGCATAACTAGACATTTTCCTGAAGCACATCCACAACGTAAGTCCTTCCATCACTTTCACAATGAAGAAGGAAGTCCACAACGAATTGCCATTCTTCGACGTATTGATGAAGAGGACCGACACTAAATGGGATACATCTGTATATGGAAAACCCACTCACACGCGACAGCATCTAAACCAGGCTTCCAACCACCATCAATCGACTAAGAGAGTAATTATCAAGACTCTACTAGACCGTGCTTTCGGGCTCTATAATATAAAGGAAGGTCTCGAAAAGGTAGAACAGGCTTTATTTAAAAGACAGCAAGAGCTACACAAGGAAAAGAAGCCACCACAACCAGTACTTGTACTTCCCTACATCAGAGGATTGTCAGAAAGGATAAGAAGGATAGGGTCCAAGTATAATATCAGGACCTGCCTCAGATCTGGAAACATTATCCGTAACAACCTCACGAAAACCATGCCACCAAACGCGGATTGCGATTTCCAGAATTGCATTTACCGGATACCCTGCGAGTGCGGAGAATCATACATCCTTGAAACTAAGAGGCCTTCGAAAATTCGCATTGCTGAGCACGAGAAACACACACATCGGGGTGAAATCAGCAAATCCGGAATAGCAGAGCATGTTTGGACTCATCAATAAAACATCAAGTGGGCTCAAGCTGAAATCATTCACAAGGAGGAACACTGGTTTAGGAGAAAATTCAAAGAAGCCGCGTATATGTTGTCCAACAACGCATTTAGCCAAGCAGGTTTGGAATCTTAATTTTTCATTTTTCATTTCTTGTTAATGATAATTATTCAATTTTCAGCTCGTGTTGATAGTAAATTATCATTAAACCATATTCTAACTTTTTCCAAATTATTCTCTGTTAGTTTTTTAGCTCCTTCCCTTCAATAACTGATAAAAATTATGGCAGTGTCGTCTGCGTAGCAAATCGAGTGTCCTTGTGAGTTTTTCATTTTTGACAAACTGGACCTAATACTATACCTTGTGGTACACCAGGCTCATCCTCTGGCACTCATCCTAATATCAAATCAAACCGTCCTTTCATGTTAGTCAACAACTCGGTTGTGGACAATCTGATTGCGAGCGTTTTCCTTTTTCGCAAGTGAGCTAAATCTGTTGTTGCCTCCACTTTCTACTTATTTTTTTTGAGGAAAAGTTCCCACGTAGTGAGATGAAACGATTTTATTGTGTTTTTGATTATTGTGACAAATTTTATTCTAAAGAATTATTTATATTTTGATTCTTGTACAAATTTAAAGGCATAAAATGAGTACACAGTGACGAGATTTTGTCAATGATGTATCATAAGCCCCTACTTCCATTTCGAAATTTGAATGTTCAATCTTTTCCTTAACATTATAAAACCTGACACTCCAAAACATTACCCAAATTTTGATTGAAATTGATCCGATAACTGGTTCACATTCTAGATTGGAAGTGCAACAAAAATTTCGTCTGTTATGTAATTTTTTGAAAACTATGAACTTGAGAAACGAAATCATCATCTCATCATAACGCAAAAATTATCAATCATGAACACACGTTTGAAAAAAATTGACGGAATATTTAATTTTCATATGTGAAATCTAAGAAATAGTGCACAAATATTGATACGCATTGACTATTTTATTGTGTTTTTCAAGCAGATCATTATTTCATTCAGTTTCAGATACAGACTGAAATTTTTCAACAATCTCAATAGAACCATATCCCATGATGATTATCATGTCGTTTTTTTAATTTCAACTTTGTAAAAAATTAAGATTTTATTATGATAATAATATATTTTGCACATTCTTCTATAAAGAACAACTGATATGTTAGTGATGAATAAGATAAAACAGATTGCATATATGAAGAATTGTTATGAGAATTTTTCGTATTGTTACGATATATTGAAAATCTCCTTTTGAATGCTTTCGAAGTCTCCACCTTAGTTTCCTACTAGGGAGTACCAGAAGGACCTGGAGGACCAGGAGGACCAGAAGGACCAGCAGGACTAAGAGGACCAGTGGAACCAGGAGCTCCATTAGAATCAGGAAGACTCGTAGGACCTATAGGACCAGTAGGACCAGTAGGACCCGTAGGACCAGTAGGACCTATAGGACCCGGAGGACCTGAATCGAAAGATAATATAAATGAACACATTTATTCAATAATAAAATGAAAAAACGATGCTATTATTCAACATACCACAATTTGATGCAGTCCAAATTGGTGAAATATAACAATTTCAAGATAAATCTAAGGTCAAATTCTAAATATCATGCATTGGAATTCAAACAGTGCACCAATTATCAAATATTCCTGAATATTTTTCCATCAAGTCTATCAAATATTCCCACAACAGTAATAAATAAGCTAACTGGGATGGAATACAAATTAGAACAAATGATAAAAGTGGTAATACAAAACATAATGAAATACTCGAAAGTGATTGATAATATTTCATGATGAATTTCATTAGTTCGGACTTCCATTGTCTGATATTAAATAAAATGATAAAAATCCCTGAAGGAACTTGTGTTCCGCAATGCCAACACTGAATGGCCTCTTGGTTTCAGCGATTCGGAATTTTTCGCATTCACAGCGTTTGGTGAAACACGAATAAATATATAGAATATATCTTTGGACAAACTGGAATATACCAAGAAACCCATAGGAAAAATAAAATAAAAAATCAGAAATTCTTAGAAAAATGCAATGAATACAATAAAATGAAAATGATTGATCGGCTGATAACGATCAATGAATTTATCTGGAGAAGAATTTGAAATATTGTCTGTCGATGCACGTTTTGCTAACCAAATTAGCATCATTAGGAGATGATTGAAACAAATCCTAGAACTGACATATAGATCTGGGAGAACGTTACTCTTCGAAAATGAGAGTCATCAAATGGAGGCTATTAGTTATTTTGTATCGATCTCTTTAGGCTATTTTCACATTCCCCAATCTGAAAAGAACAGAAGGTTGCAGAAAAAAAATTCCTAGATGGAAAAATTTTTTCGTTCAATACTTATTTCTGTCATTAAAGTTTACTACTCATTCAAATGTTGAAGGATATCTGATTCTGATAGCTAATATTCAACATTTCACTTTTATGGTCTATGAAACCAATTCTACGAAACATGTTCCTTGTAGCGAGCTATTACAGTCCGCTTAGTTTCACCAACATACTTTCAATGACATTCTCAGAGCATATTTTGTAAATTACAGACTTTTCATTTTTCATCGTCTTATCTTTTGGGGTCTTCAACACTTCAACAACACAAACCCATTATGTGTTCATTCCTTCGAGAATAAGTTGTTATATTTTTGTTCATAGTGATGAACTACAAGTTGTGAGTCGTCTTTATGAAAAGTCGAGAATTTACGAAGTCACTCTTTGAATTTTCGTTTCCTAATCAACTTATCCACTTTGTTTGGATAATACCCGTTACTTTCAGTTATCTCGTTGATAACTTTTCCTCCACATATTTATGTGCCAGTCTATGGATAAGAAAATGTATTCCTGACATTTTTTTTATGACCAATGGTTGGTGATCTCAGTAATATTTGACAGTATAGTTCAAGTAAACGATATAGTGCCTACCTTCCAACTGCTCCCCCTTCAATAATATAGTTAGGGAGCTATCTAATTTCGTTATTCAATAATCATTTCTGATTACATGTAAGAATGACAGTAACAGCTCATGTTGTGACCGGAAGTATTCAATTTTTTCCTCATGATTTCAATTGAAGGTATCTCATTGCTTTTGTAGCAGTCGAGGTTTGTTTTTTTCAATGATTTCATCAGAGGAACATCTGAAGGTTTTGGTAATCCTGTATCACATCGCGTCTTGCGTTCATAAAGTTTGTTTTTGACTATTTTACGTACACTTGAGAAAGGAATTTCGGTCAAATTTGATGTTACTTGTAATAGTTTGTTTCCCTTGAAAGATGTAGATTCTTATATACATTGAAACATACTCTCTATGTTTCAATATTCAAATGCATCTGAATCTTATTCACTGGTACCTCTTTTTCGCATTGTTCACCATCGCTATTGGAATCACCACACAGGAAAAAGTCTGCATTGTTATCATACTCGTTATTACTATTAGTACTTGCCCAAGGACGTCACATTTCAAACGGATAACAAAAATTTCAAGTGATTATAACTGCACCAATATCGGTTAGTAAAAATCATTCAACACGAACCTCAAAGTCCACAGTCCACGTGGACTAGTGGGTAGCAGCTTTATTTCTCTGTATTGTTTTTTTTGGCCTTTGAGATCGCCGACAGCTTTAACTATGCACAATACCGGTTACTTCGACTATACCAGTATTCTTCCTCGTAGACTGTTTCGCAGCTGGGCTTCATGGCTTGTTTTTGCTTGTTCGTGATTTTTTGGCTAATGACAATCATACTTCAGCCACCGTATTCACCAGATTTGACCCCCTGTGACTTTTTCCTGTTCCCAAGATTGAAGAGACTCATGGAAGGACGGCGTTTTGCGAGATTGAGGAGGTGAAAACCGAATCGCTGAGATATCTCAAGGACATACAAAAAAGTGCATACTAGAACTACTTTGAAGAATGGAAAAAACGCTGGCACAACTGTAATATTCCTGAGGGGTACTACCCTGAAGAGGACAAAATAGAAATTGATAAATAAATTAATTATTTTTGGGAAATATTAAAATTTACATACCTCGTATTTAGAAATATTGAAGACATTTCGAAGGAAATTGTTTCCAGAAATGATTCATTTGAAATAAATATGCAATCATATTCATTTGATCATTCGAACGGTTAAATTTTAAGGAGGTTCGCGATTTTCAGATCTCAATCAAAATTCATCGAATCATCGATAGTCTAAAAAGATTCTTATCAACACCAAACTAGTGAGGAACTATGGTTTGATATATGTCTAAATTATTACCAGGAGGTCCAACTACAATGACAGGAGGAGATCCTGATAAACTCTGATTGACTGAAACTACGACTTTGTTGTTAATGATGGGGCCTTTGGGGTGAGAATTGATTGGCACATCTTCTTCACTAGATAAATCGCAGTCATTCCACCAACAATCGAACTGAAAGAGAATATTATTTCAATATCGTGATTTTATGGAAATCAGAACTTAGAAACAAAACATTTGTGATCAAATACCAGGCACTGCTGTTTCGACCTGCCAAAAGTTCCAAAGATGGTGCTAGGCTGAACCACGAATGTATTCTTGCTTCAACTGCTATTACAGAGTCAGTATTTGCATTACGGAGCCTTGAGAGCTGCGTTCATCATTGATATTTATGGTTGAGTCGATCCCATTCATGAAACAGATATTTCTTCATTAACTTTGTCCAAATATGCCTGAGAGGCTCAATAACATGGATCGGCTCAACAAACATACATAAAATAGTCTTAAAATTGCAGTAGGTTTCAATAACTCTCGATATATAAGTTGCTACGAAGCAAAATTGATCAGGTAAAAGTTCACTGGTTCACTGAAAACTATTTATCACAAAGTTCAAGATTAGTTTGTGAAAATTAGTCTGAGACATAATCCAGTATATGTCTATCAACTAGTTGATTATTTTTCGAAACTGGTTGACAATATTTCATGGTAAGTTCTACTAGTTGGAACATTCATTGTCTAATATGATTCGAAATGTTGCGTACCTCTACGCTAGCCGAATGCGTCGTTGGACAACATATATGCAGCTTTTTTTAACTTCCTTGCAAACCAGTTTTCCTCCCTGTGAATGATCTCAGCTTGGGACCACTCGATGTTATGTTAATGACTCCAAACAAGCTCTGCTATTCCCGATTTTCTGGTTCATTATCGCTGTGTGTTTCTCTTTTGCTCGGCAATGCGGACTTTCAATGGCCTCTTAGTTTCACCGCTATAGTATTTGCCGCACTCACAGGGTATCCGGCAAATGCAATTCTTGGAATCGCAGTCCGCGTTTGGTGGCCTGGGTTTCGTGAGGCTGCAACGAATGGTGTTTTTCGTATCTGCAGCAGGTTCTGATGTTGACTTGGATCCAATCCTTCTTATCCTTTCCGACAATCCTCTGACGTAAGGAAGGACAAGCACTGGTTGTGACAGCTTCTCTTCCTTGCGAGGCTCTTGCTGTCCTTTCACCAAACTCTGTTCCACCATTCCGTTGAAAATCTTTTTTGATGGTGCCTAGTTCCTTCTCTGGACCTTCCTTCGTATTTCGAATCATATTAGAATCATATTAGACAATGAAACTAAGTTGAATGCTGTTATATCAGCTAATCGAAGCAATAGATACTCTAAAAGTAAGGACGTTTGAAGAAATATTGAATAGTACAGTACGCCTAGTGTAACGCGATGGCACATTGAATGGAACCACTGAAAGAATTTCTGTTGCATTTTTTCATTATTAATAATCTCGAAATGAAATAGCATGGCTGTCATTCATTTCTTTACAGAGCCAGTATCCTAAATTCTTTTTCTAGTGCGATTGATCCTATTGAGTTATAATCAGGCCATTGATGATAGTGTTGAAAAGAAAATCTGAAAAACTTGTTTTGCATTTTTTCAATTCCACCTAAAATTGTGATATATGTTGAGCTTAGGTATCAGTAAAGTGTAATATAGGTATTTTATAACGTTCATATTGGTAGAAAAATTAAACTAACGCTATGGAAGATAACGTAGTACCTAGATAAATGCCTTCTAATTTTTTGCAGTACCAACAATGTTCAACCCCTGAGGCATAGAGGATGTCATAAAGGATTCGCAGTCTGCAATTTGGCATATCCACATTGTCATTAGTAGACAATATTCAGGTACTCAATCAAGCTAAGTACCTCTATTATTACCTATAGTGGTGTTATTTAAGCGCTAATGTAAACAACCATTGTTAGTTTAATGTATAAGTTTGAAAATGTCCTCATAGGACGAAACTGTAGTTATATTAGTTGCAAATAAAAGTGGTAAAAAACATAGACAGTTTCAATTCTCTTTTCTTCAATATGATATCCCGCCACATAGTAACGGCTAGATCGGTTAATCGGTTAACAGTTAATCTTTCACCACTTTATTTTCATGAAAAATTTGCTAGAATCAGCCGAATCATTAGGAAGAATAATATACTTGCTGGCAACCTGCTTTCGTTATTTCAATAATTGGTCATTGGATAATCGTTCAATATTGATTCTGCAGACAGTCAAACGACCACCATCATCGATATTGATATTTTCGTTATCTCCCATTGAGCGGAATATGCAGTCTGGTTAAAGTTCAAAATTGAATGACAGATAACAAACAGATGTTGATATAGATTAATCCATCCCAAGAGAGTCATAAACTGTCCATCTTGCCTTACTTTTATCAACTTGGCCCGTGGTTTCATAACCGCCAAGTCATCCTAGAATCTAAACGGAATATGTTGTTTCTAGGAAACATGGTTTCAGGTAATTTCTGAATCATCTTTCATCAGTCTCCCATTTATTGTCTGTTGAACTCTGTGGGTGGAGCTGTAACCTTTTTTGAAAGACGGTAAATGGTTATTCAAAATAATTAATGGGGAGATATTTGATGAGGAGATAGACCCTGAAATCCTAAGATTTCAGCAGTTTTTAAGGGACCAAACATGCTATTTGTATATGAATCTGGGCAGTTAGATATGAATCGGATCATATTCGAAGGGGCCATAAAAGGAGATTTTGGATCTCGTAGTGAGAGAGTTGAAAATTTATGAAACATTGAATTTTTTCCCGAAATGATATAGTGGCATGGAAATCCGAACAAATATCTTCTAAGCGAGAACCCCAAAAAGTAATGTTAAACTTTATAACCAAGGAAGTAAGAATAAGATAAGATAAGATAATATTTATTGACCAAAACGCGATACACTTGGTATATGTGGTAAGTCAGGGTATATATTTAAAATATGACATTATGAGGACCCTAAGTCAAATAATCAAATGGGTAGTACATTCATTGAACTTACATCGCAGTGATAAGGCACACACAAAATAAGCAAAAATATATACATGATAACAATGTTAGACTAGGAATGCCAGACAAAACTTTAAATTAAAATGTATTTGAGTTGTTTGGGAAATCGTCGTTCAAGAAGTCCTGATAGCTATAATAGCATTTCTGTATTAGAAAATTGGTGTCTAGTATTTAACAAAACGAAAGCTAGTGGAAATGTGTTCGTATTCCAGAAACAAATTCTCATTAAAACATTGTATATTTCAGACTTCAAAGTATTCATGGAATATATAAAAAGTGCGAAATTAGTTGGATAGAAGTGCCTTTCCAGAACTTTCTTACCCCTTTTTTGTTACTTGGGAATTGCCTGAATTGAGAATCTTGGAAAAATACTACAGATTAATGGGTCCATCTTTACACGAAACCCAATTCTAATAGCTGGTCTATTTTGTCAAGGTTTATTTTTGGATGTTTGTCAAAATAATTTTAATCCTTTTCTACTCTTGATCCAATGCCGTACATTCACATAAAATATGAGCAGTGTCTAATTTTTCGTTGCACTGCCTGCAGCTGAGATGTCCGTTAAACACCCTTATTTTGATCAGGTGTCCCCTAAATGAAGTAGTTCTTCGATGCAGTTTGAAATAGTTTTCGCGAAAAGATTTTTTTGGATCCCAATAAGTGTATATTTCGGGCTAGTACTTGAGTGCCACCAAGATTTAGCCAATGTCTCGATAGATTATAACATTATCCTGAGGTGGGTTGAAGGGCACGACAGGAGTAAAGGTAATCGCATTGCCGACTCTTCAGCCCAGGAAGCGGCTGGACTAAGAATTTTAGGACCCAGTAGCATCTACGGCCTGATGACTTCGACAAATACGGAACTAGCCAAACAATACACCCATGCTCAGTGTCAAGATGACCAGGAAAAACCTCAATGAGTCACAAGTGGCCTAAGTGCTGTGGACCTACACTCACCCCCCCTACTCTACAGATACAGAAGTGTTTATTTCACCAATATTTTTCATATTTCTTATCGTCCCATTATCTGATTTGGTTCCACAGATAGATTTTGGTACTTACTCCACAGCTTCAGAGCCAATATATGGATCTGATAATCCATGTCCAGTACACACATCAATTTTCTCATTGCTTGGGATTTTCGAAAATCCAGAAAACTAATGGATCTATTCTAGTCTGCAAATCTTTTTGGTCTCAATGGCATTGTTAGAACAATTTCGACCTCACTTTTGGAATCATCAATAACCCGATGTCTAAAGCCTCGAATTGATACTCATTGGCAAAACAAAATTTTGTACAATTCCACTTGAAAGATGGTTGTGTATTGATCGAGCGTGTAGCTGTAATGCAAATTTCTGCCTGCACAGTATATGCCAGCTCCCGTTCCATATTCTTCTTCCGTCACGTCTATATATCAGGTATATTTGTCAAGCATATTCTTGGGATGAATGTTCATAACTATTGTTTTCGCCAAAAGTGAATAAGTGAGGGATCCATTATTTGAGCTTTCTGTCCTTTCCAATACGTTTTAAACCATCAAAAACAGCATTGGAGCTGACTCCTAGTTTTTCCGTCATCCCACGCACAGTTTATAATGGGTCAGTCTCCACCGGGGTCTTCAAATCCTCTTCTAGTCTGGTTCACATGTACTCGATTTAGCTCTTTTTGGTGACATTTTTCAGCCCTGT